TGCGGGAGTACGCACTGTCACTGTCACTGTGGTTGCTAAACAAGAGAGGAGAGAAGAGAGAGAGAGAGAGAGAGAGAGAGAGAGAGAGAGAGAAATGGAGTGTGGGAGTGGGACTCACTGGCTGTCTACTATGGTCTGTCCAGCTCGTTTCTACTAACCTAGCCTACTCTGGTCTATTGCATCTTTTCATCTATCACTCAACTCAAATGATAATATATATACAAACGGTAAAATATATATATATATATAATTATAAATTTATTTCACTATTTAAAACTATTATAAATATCCTTCATTTTTCAAAATAAATCTCACAACAAATAATTCTCTCTTTCTCTCTCTCTCTCTCTCTCTCTCTCTCTTAAACTCACTTAAACTCTCAATCTCTCTCAACTCTCAATTAATTTTGAAGCGTCATCCCTAAGTGATAATTGCAATTGTGCAACAAGAAACTTTTATCAGAAAAAGTTAATTTCTATATCGCATTCATCAGTCGGTAACATTAATTAGTTTAATTAAATTTATTAGCTACTCATTTTTTTATATTAATTATTTGTGCATATATATTAATTATTATTTATTACTGATTGTATTTACACATTATTTAAATTAATTGTTAATCCTTATATATTGCTTTACTTACATTACTATGGATCCTAATATTCCTAATATTAATGTCAATGTTGATACATATACCATACAACATGAATCTGTTGATTCTCATTCGAATATCCCTCTTTCAACAATTGGGTCATCTTCTAGGAGTAGAAGTAGTAATGTTTGGGAACATTTTGAAAAAATATCTATAAATAATAATGATGGTACAATTACATTTAAAGCAAAATGTAAATATTGTGTACATTTACTTATTGCTACATTTGCAGGGGTACTACTTATCTAAAAAGGTATGCTAACAAACATTTACAAAGTCAACAACCTAATATTCGAAGTCAAATGTAATTAGGGGCTTTATCAATTGATAATTTGCAAACATTTTCATATAATCCTATACATGCACAAAATTCTGTAGTTGATTATATTATAAAAAAAAAAACCTTTTACTATTAGTGAATGTCCCGATTTTACAGAAATGATTCACGAAAGTTGTGCACCGTAATATCAAAGTTTTTCAAGAAATACTATTAAAAACAAGATTTTAAAGAAAATTGAGGATGTTAAAAGTGAATTATTTTACATCTTCAAAAATTTGAATGGAAGAGTTTGTTTTAATATCTGATTTGTGGTCAAATAATAGTTTTGAATATCAATGTATCACTGCATATTTTATTGATAACGATTGGAAATTAAATAAAAGAATTATTTTATTTAAATTAGTTGAACTTCCATACATTGGTCATTAATTTGTTAACAAGAAAATATACCATTTAGAAAATTAATTTTAGATGTAGATAATAGGTGGAATTCAACATATAATATGTTAAAAATAGCTTGTAAACAAAGAAGAGTAATAGATTTATTTTTTGTAACAACATCAATAGTAGGAATACTGACTCTCACAGAACTTAATTGGCCAATGGTTTCACAGATGACCCGTGATATACTAAACGTTCATATTTCTACAGTTGCTTCGGAAACAACTTTTAGTGCAGGTGGACGGGTGGTGAGCGATTACCGGAGCAGGCTTTCACCCAAAATGGTTAAGGAATTGATGATATCCAGAGATCATATGCATGCGCTTACAAGAAGCAAAATTATAGTGAAAATGAGCGAATTCAAAATGATTTGGATGAATATTCTCGTGCAACGCGACTGAAATATTTGTCTCCTCCGATGATTGATCAACAATTTGTTAAAGTTCATAATTAAAAAAACATAAGTCATACATAATTAAATTTAAATATCACCATGAAATATAACCAAACAAAATATCTCATTAATATTTAATCTTAATTAAAATACTCTAGTATCAAATTTTTTTTTATTCCTAGTATAAAACATAAAAAAAAAAGGCCCGACTAGGCCAAGCTCGCGGCCCAGGCCCTAGGCTCGATTATGAGTGGGCTTGGGTTTGGACTTGAGCCCCACTTTTTGGCCCATGGCCTAGCCCAATCCGCTAAAAAGGAGGGAGCCCGCGAGGCCCACTTGGGCCGACCCAAGCCCGGGCCAGGTCGGGCCATTATTACATCCCTAAACATACCTGTAAAAAATTATGTTGATTAGATATCGGTAACCCTTTTCTCAATTGCATTTGTGTCTAAAAAAATAAATGGCAAATGTCATTTAAAGTATAAAACTAAATACAAATATAATTAGATGAAAGGATTATCAATGTCCCATCAATTTGATTTTTTATATGTATATTATCAATGTCCCATTAATTTGATTTTTTATATGTATATTCTACTTGATGCATCATAAAAAAACAAATGTAGATAGTGTGAATCACAAAGATAAAATTTTATTACAAAAGATATAACAATATTATTTTTCATCTATATAACTAACAAATTAGTAATGAAAAAAAATTTAAGTGTTTTTTAATCAAAATTTTATAAAAATATAATATAATTATATTAAACTTAAGAAATTTATTGTATTTTTTTTATATCTTAAAAAAAAGTGTGTAATTTACCTTAAAAGATACCCAAGAGATTATGGATGAAAGAATAGCAAGACAAAATGGCCTATATGGCCAGCCTAGTGTTTGATAAATGAAACCAATGTGGACATATAGACTAGTGTTAGGCTGGTTAAATCAAATCACACGTCACTTGGGATGCTTAAACTTTTTCATTAACACTAACTGGAAAAGCACATGCATGCACGTTCTTTGTTTCTGAAAAAACCTATAAATTATGAGCCTGTTTGGGAAGGAAGTTACGGGCTAAATTAGCTACTACAGGATGAAATTGGCTAAATTAGTCACTACAGGACAAAAAAGGCTTTGCATCTTACATACAAGGAGGCATGAAATTACCAAATTACCCCTGGGTCTTTGTTCACACTATCCCGTTCTCGTAAATTAAAAAAAAAAAAAGAACATTTGCCACGTCATGTGTACAAAATCGTGAACTGAGCCACGTAAAAAAATAAAGTTAACAATTAATGTATACAAAAAAAAATTTACCAAATTAATGTACCAAAAAAAATTTACGCGACAAATTAATTTACCAAAAAAATTAATTTAACAAAAAAAATTTACCAAAAATTTACCAAAAATCTTTTTTTACATTTGCCACGTAAAAAAAAAAAGAACATTTACCAAATTAATATATACAATTTTTTTTTTGACAAAATCGTAAATTAAAAAAAAAGAACGACAAAAACACGGCTCATCCAAAAAATAAAAAATAAATTTTAAAAACCAAAAATGAGCATTTGCCACGTAATTTACAAATACATAAAACACATGATACCACATTTTTGAAATATAAACACAAATTAATGTATACAAAAAAATAAAATGACAAAAACGTAAATTAAAAAAAAAGAACGGCCAAAATACGGCTCATCCAAACAAAAACAAAAATAAAAAACATAACAACAGAAATTAGCATTTACCACGTAATTTATAAAAAAATAAAACACACGAAAACCCATTTGTCAAATATAAAACCAAATTAATGTATACAAAAAAAAAAATTACAAAAACGTAAATTAAAAAAAAAACGACAAAAATGCGCCTCATTCAAAAAAAAAGAAAAAAAAAACTAAGACATAGTTAAAAATAAAAATCCAAGACAAAAAAAAAAACATAGTTCAAAAAAAACATAGGTATAGTAAAAAAAAAAAAAAATTAAAAAGACAAAAACATAAATTCCCAAATAAAAATCGAAAAATTTAAGCACAATACCCCAAATCCAAACCCAAAATGAAAAAAAGTAACAGGAAAAAAAATTAAGCAAAATATGAAAAATCCAAGCGCAAAATAAAAAAATTTCAAACAAAAAAAAAAAAAAAAAAAAAGAAAAAAAAAAAAAACCAAAAAAAAAAAAAAAAAATCCAAGACAAAAAAAAAAAAATTTTAAAAAAAAAAAAAAAAAAAAAAAAAAAAAAAAAAAAAAAAAAAAAAAAAAAACCAAAACAAAAAAACCAAATTTTTTTTCCCAAAAAAAACCCAAATTTTTAAAAAAAAAAAAAAAAAAACCAAAAA